CAAAAAATTCAATGTTAAGCTTTCACCATTTTGCCTTGTTTCATCGTTTTTTTTCTTCTCTTATGTGTGTTATTTTACGCTTGAAAGAAAAAGTGAACATGAAAACAATTTCACTTTTCACGAAAACATCATTTTTTTTTATATTATTTTTTTGTTTTTCTTTGTTTTCTTTTGTTTTGGAAGGGGGAAAGCAAGGAATAAAAAAAGAAGAAAACGACGAAGAAGAAGAAGAAGCAAGGAATCCTTCAATCATGATAAATGTCCAACCTTCTTAGGGCTATTAAACCATCATCAACTATAGTTAGAGGGCGTAGCAAGTTTTCCGTTTCTCCACAAGGAGGCCACATTTTCGATTGTGCAAAAGGAGGGCAGCGACGCTGTGCGTTGTACGCTGAGCTGTGTCAGCCGCCTTTGTGCTCCACGTGCAATTATCATGCAGGTGAAAATTCAAAGTTGCCCATTGCAAATCCACCAACATTGTATGACTCCGAGCGCAGTAACCCCCCCCAGGGGAGGTTAGCTGGGCAGTGGTGTCCGCCTGGAGGTTGTTTGCCGCTCGTGGAGGATGTCTTGGATGTCAAGCAAACATGTATGTAACTCCTTGCTGCAGTCGTGCTGGGGTGGGATGAATCTCATGCCCGGCATGGCAACCGTTCGGTCTCCTAGTCGCGGTTGTAGTGATAAAGGCATCTGGCTGTTTTGCCGAGGGCACCGGTACAGTTCTCTCGTGTTGGCTCCGGGTCGAGTTTCGATCTGGCTCTACATTCTATTTAACAAAACTTACCAACATTGCAAATGCAAGCAGGGGAAAGGTCCCACATGCTGGAACTTTTTGTTTATGTCCATAGATTGCATGGATCTATGGCCGCAAATAGAGAATCCAAGTAAGCGGGACCGAAGACCTCGCCCCAGGTGCTTTTAAAGTAGTTTTCTATTGTGATATGACACAGACTAAGCCTCCCTTTGTCTTTCTTTTCTTAAGTCGCCACTACCTTTTCTCATATGTGGGGACGCGGGCCTCAAATTCGAATTTGGCCCCAAGCACCGTCGATGAAAAATACTGACGGCGGCATGACAACTACTTTTCAGGAGTAAACTGCTAGATGCCCGCGAACGACATATGGGAAAGGTAGCGGTGTTTTTATAGTAGTTTTCTATTGACATATGACATCGACTAAGGTTAAGCTTCCATTTTTCTTTCTTTTCTTCAATAAAAGAGCCGGCTCTTTCTATTCTGGGGAGCGTCAGTCCGTTTCTTTTTCCACCGGCAAAGTCCATAACAAATTTGCGACACAACTTCACGATTCTCCACATTGCGTCGATAACAGAATTGCAATGCCAACTTCACGGTTCCCCACGTTACGACCCGTGGAACCCTGACAGCATTGATTGCTTCTCTCCAGGAAGGATGGAACGTCTTTGAAATCCCATACTTGACTCGTCTTCCCAAAGCTTACAAATTTGGGAGTTTTGACTCATCTTTCCAGAGCTTGCAAGTTTGGGATTTTTGTGTTTACAAGGCGTTACCTCAACTCGTATTGCCAAAGCTCGCCAGTTTTGAATTTTTGTGTTTACTAGGGGTTACCTCTGCGAGTTCTGCAACGGTTGGCGGGGCTGCAACACTTGTGGCCATAGTGCCACCATACCCTTCTATGGCGATCTGGCACGAAATCAGGGCACACTCATACTAGGACTTTTTTCCTTATTTCGGGATGGAATTGCGGCCAGATGCATCCACTTGCGGCAGTAAATTGGGTCAGATACATTTAAACCACCAGTACTCGGCCCAGCTATTGGCCGCGGATAACATAGAGCAGAATGTTTCTAGTCGGATGAATTTGGCCGCTCCTGTAGTGGGCCGTGCGTTTCCTAAACCCGTGGCTTGTTAACGGGCACGACTTCCAGAAGTACTGGTGGTTTAAGAGGACTTGCAGTGTGAGTACACCCTCAGCTTTCAGAAGTTTTTGACTTTGACAATTTGTTAAGGCCTTTTTTTTCCCCTCTTTTTTTAATTTTTTTGTTGGGGCCTTTCAAAGGTTTGAGGACGGTGTGATTACTGAGCAACGTGTGTTTAGGGCATCATGCCCTGCCATACTCAGACGGCCTTGAACCAACACCCTCAGCCTCAAGAACGAAGTATCGTAACCACTACAACCCTTGGTGGTGTTATAAAAACTGGATCCATAGCGGTCGTGATATCCAGCCCACCTCCAGGGCTGTAGTGTCCTCGAACTGAGAGCCTGCCGGTTCTTTTCGATTCTCTTTTTTCCTTTTTTACAGCCTGTTGCTTCTTGCACCTGGTGTGGATGGTGGTGGTGATAGCCTCTGCTCTTGTCTTTGGTTCCAAGGCACATATTTATCTGTCAAACAGTCCAAAGTATTTTTTTAAAAAAGGGGCAACGGCTTCTGGGTCACACCCAGCGTGTCTAGGAGGCAACTTTAGCAGTTCTCGAAACCGGGCAAAAAAGGAAAAAAGCCGCCGCTAAATCTGCATTCGTGCCACGTATATCAAAGTCAAAAGGTGACCCAGGAGCAGTTTCCCCCTTCCAACCCCCCAAAAAAAAACAAAACAGAAAAAAGGACGTCGCTAGGGGGGGTTACAACTGCTGAGGGTCCATGGAAATGCAGCCCCCATTTACGTACTTTGCCACACGGACGCAAGAGGGGGAAAAAGAGTCGACTGCATCCGGAAAGAAAACAAGTTCTGAATACACAAAAAAAAAAAAACACGTGCCGGCAGGTCAGTGACATGCCAAGTTTGAAAAGGCAATAAAAGAGGCACAGTAGTTTCTAATAAGTGCGGATGTCATAACTACAGCGGTGGGCTGTAGAGTTCAGAGACGGCAAAAAAAGGAATCTCTGTTTTTGTCTTCTTGTGCATTCCAAACTGCCGCTGTGACAAAAGTCACAAAACTGCATTTAGTGTGATGCGCGAGGGGAAACATCATCTTGCACATTCCATACGCAGAGAGAGAGAGAGAGAGAGAGAGAGAGAGAGAGAGAGAGAGAGAGAGAGAGAGAGAGACCTCTCTCCACCACCAGGTGCGAGATGTTTTTCTTTTGTTTTAGTTTTCATCCCAAGTACAATATTGTTTGTTTTCGTTTCTTTTTTTTTATGTTGGCAGCGACCGGGCGTTTGTGCGTCGAGGTCCCTGACCTCCCATGTTAACCGCCGCAGAATGAAAAAGCAAGAGGCAAAAAGATATTGGCGGTTTAGAAGCTCCAAACCCTCCCATAATTTTTTTCAAAAAAAAGCTAGGAAGATTCTCACGCCCGGCCAGGGAGCCGAGCGTGCAAAAAAAAGTACCGAAATGGTTCAAATCTGTTGTTCGGGACATTCGTTAAAATTTTCGACGATACAGAGACGATTGGTATGCACCCTGTACAAGGATGACACTCACAACTCAAGAACTGGCATACAAACAAAAAAAAAAAAAAAAAAAAAAAAAAAAAAAAAAAAAAAAAAAAAAAAAAAAAAAAACACTCAAAATAGCAAAAGGGCGGTGCAGAGCTAACTGTCTTCCGCCCAACAACGAAAAGGATAAGATCATTAGAGCTGTATTTGGACCAGTTTTCGAAGCAAATTTAGCCGTAACGACCATAGCTGTATTTGGTCCAGTTTCGAGGGCAAATGCAATTACAACTATCGTGCCTTCTATTCAGAGGAAGCAGATAGCAATCAGCAATCTGCCCCGATTCCATGCTCGCTGCAAATCATATTCAACTGCTGCGAGCCTCGAAATACGGTCATATTTGCTGGCAGGTATTGCTGGCTTTTCCAAAAATGAGGTCCATAATGATGCACGTACCCGGCCAAATCAGTTTTAGGTGTGTGTGTGGGCTGGGGGGAGGGAGAGGGGGGGGGGGTCTCCCTGCCTGGTTTGCTTAAGCTCAGGACTCGTCTCTAGACTCTCTAGATATGCCGTCACCCCCTTCGGCAGAAAAATCATACACCATCATCCAGACCATAATACAATTCATTATTTTCAGTAGTCAGCTTTTTCATCATAAGCAGCATCTTCATCCTCCTCGTTATGCATCCCATCTGCGGCAATAGACTGTTCTTTGGATAATTCATGGCACGAAGATATAGCTGACGGGGGAAGGAAGGATGTGTGCACACGTATGGAAACTACACCATGCTTCGGCCGACGACCGTAGACACGTGACTTGCACCATTCACATACCGATCAACACAAAACCTATTCACACAACAGCCAGGGAACATGAATGCAAAACACGCAACGACACATCTCCAACTTGAAAAGCACAATTCCGTTGACTTGTCTGAGCGTCAGCGCACCCTTCGTGGATGCTCAAACCCTTCAATTTGCATCCTGGCCTTGCAGGATGCATGCGCACATATGGCACAAAGTGCTTTGAGCGGCACAAGACTTGCTCCATTCACGTACGGATCAGCACACAACCTACTCACATACCAGACAACATGAACCAAAACACACGACGATGACCTCCATATCAAAAAGCAGCATTCAGCCTTAGGTTTGACTGCCGTGGACGCTGTTGCCGGTGCACACGTGGTGCATGCGGGCATGACATGGGTGTGTTGGAGTGTGTACGCTTAC